AAGTCTGCAGAGTGGTATATAAAGTCCTGGTCTAGCAGAAAGTTGTTCTTTTTGTGATAAGGATACATAGAGCCAACTTTGACTTATCCCTGAACCAGCCAATCAAACCACGATTGAAAGTTTATTTTGAGCTCTGTAACTTAAAATGTTCTGATTTCTTTTTCAAACCAAGCTTGTAAGAACATATTTTTTACCGTGGACTCATCAGTCTTTATTTTGCAAGACATGATTTTCATAATGGCCACAAATTTCAAGTGTCTTTACTGCATATGTGTTGTAATGCTCTTACACGTAGTTCAGTAAAGGTTTTTACAGCTGTCTTCAAAATTACACACACATTACCACATCTATTTAGCCTAATTGCATAACTGGTTGTGATTGCACCAATTACCTAGAGAGGCAATACATGACTAAAAGTTAAAAATAGGGAAAATTGTTGGAAACAATTTTTACCCTCTGTCAGCAAGTCAGCAAGTCACTCTTGTAATGAGATTTGAAGACTCAGAACAAGGTTAAAGGAGTCCTGATTATTATGTTAGGCCACTGATTAATTAGGACACTTAATGTTGGCTCTTACACTCACCAAGGATTACTATATTATTCAGGCATACTCAAATTGGCACAAGTATTGGAGTCTCATTTTATGCCCTCACAAGCTGTATTAATATTAAACATATAGTGCTGATAGACCACTTTTCGGTCATAAGTTCATTCTCAGACTACTGATGACTTTTTATGTATTGGATTTCCGGCCTTTCATAGCTATCAACATATTTCCAAAAATCGTGTGTTTACTTGCTTAAGTAGAGGTCCAGAAAAGGGATTCTGAGACAAATAGAGACTAGGATATTGACTGTCCAGTGCAGACTGTGCAGATGAAACAAAACAAGAAATTGATTTCTCCAAGATCTTGCAAGTACAACTCAAGTAATCTGTACATTAGCCCAAAACCTAAATGGATGGTGACTGAAAAATAAGCCTTCTTTGATTTTAGATCCAGCTGAGCAACAAAATTCAAGCAACAGCTCAAAAATAAAATTAATTTGGCTCATCTACATGTATGTCACATGTATCGATGGTAACCACCACCATTAGTCCAGAAATTTTAATGAACTCAAAAAATCTCTTTGATTTTTCTAAAATCATAAATAATTTTTAGCTGTCTTCATAAGTACTACTTTGTTATTCACTGCCTTAGATTCCTTTAAATTTTTTTTTCATTCACAGCCATTAATAGGATGGCAAAATCCATGGATTCCCACTGCATAAGGTGCTTGATAAGGATGGGTGTTTGGTTACACGGTGGCTGCACCACGGCAGCTCACAGCAGCTCTCCTGCCCCGTTACGTGCTGGGTGCAGTTACACCAACACTGTGGAAGCTCTGGATGGCGCCTTTTTATGGGTTACATGAAAAATGCTCGATATCTGCCAGGTCTACACTGACACCGGTTTTGAGTCTTTCATAGACTCTCTGCCATCTAATCAGAAAGGGAAAACAGGCATCACCTCAAATCCATTTTAGGACTACCTCTCTGAAACAGTGGAAAATCCTTTAAAAAGATTAAATTAATAGTCCTTATGAAACTCATCTGACTGCGCAGGACCTCTCTGCCCAGTTTATAGAGGCTATGAGTGATAACAAACTCCAGGTTATTCTTCTCTTTCTAAGCATGAGAAATCACCAACAGGCAAACCGAGAACAAAGGGAAACAGAGCCATAGCAATCCTGGGAAAGTGAAAGCCCTCCAATAATTTTACTCATAAGTGTATTACATTTAGGAAAACTTCCTTTTGCTTTCTTCTCTTACTTTATTTTCTTTCTTTTTTACTCTTTTTGACTTGCTGGCATTTTACTGAAAAAGAAGGAATGATGCCAAAATCCTACAGAAAGGGCTTTTTCTTTTTTCTCTTTTTGTTTTGTCTGTTGAATTTCACAAAGATTTTCCAGATCAATATAGCTAACCTGTGCTAATTAAGCCATTAATGTGGGTGGTAAATGAGGCTTAGTCAAATGATAA